CAGGAAGAACTAGTTAGGAAGTGGAGATTCTATTTCTCCTGCAGCTCTCCAGCTGTTTTGGGTACGGTTGCATGTTTATAATTTTTTTCTCACAGATGTTACATTTTATAAAATCTGACTCATTAGGGTGGTACTAGTATCTTTAGATGGAAAGAAATCCCTGAGGGCTGGATGATTACACAAGTCTGCTTCACTAAAGACCTGAAATATTTGAATAGAATATTTCCCAGAAAAATAAAAAAAAGAAGCAATAAGAATTTGCCATAATTAAATAAATCAAAGAGCAATGATTTCAAATTCTTTTTTTTTTTTTTTTTATGGGAAGAATGAAGGACGGATAATATTCTTGTTTGGGGAGGCTTGATTTTTATTTGCAGAATGTTTTTAATTTGTGTGGACTTTTCGTTTTGGAACTTGGGTCTATAATTTTGTTTCAGTGTGCAACAAAAAAACCCCCACATTTATTAGAAGACACTTTTCGAATGCCCCTCTGTGCAAAGCACGAGATTTGGTGCTACTTGGAGTAGTAAAAGACCTAGAATACACTGTCCTGCCATCTTTTAGCTTCTCCTAAAAGTCTACAATTAAATGTCACCGGGGCGCCTGGGTGGCTCAGTCAGTTGAGCGTCTGACTCCTGGTTTCAGCTCAGGTCGTGATCCTGCCATTTATGGGTTTGAGCCCCACGCCAGGCTCTGTGCTGCCAGTGCAGAGCCTGCTTGGGATTCTCTCTTCCTCTCTCTCTCTCTCTCTCTGCACCCCTTGAGCACTCTCTCTCTCTCTTTTTCTCACAAATGATTAAATAAACTTAAAAAATTTTTTAAAATAAAATTAGATGAGATGCCTGGGATCCCAAATGGGAAGGGGACTCATCCAAAGTCCTGCATCTAGAGACACAGAGAACTAAGACTTGGTGTCTCCTTAGTTCCAGTGCTCTTTCAACACACCAGGCTACTTAGTACCTGTGGACTTAAATGGCAGGGCCAGCACCAGAGGAGTCAACTGATGCAAAATTGTACAAAGTACCAAAAACTGCATTAATCAAAATGAATGCAAAAAAAAAAAAAATCTGCTGAACAAAATACCAAAATTTTAAGTGAAGTCAGGATCTGGCCCTACACTTGTCTGACCCCGCCTCACTTGCCTCACCCTAATCTTGGCCCTGTGCCGTGCAATCTGAACTTTTGGGTGGACCAACGGGGACAAACGATAAGGAAACATTCCCATAAGTGGGATAGTTGTAAAGTATTATTGTAATTGTAAGTTGCAAAGGAGTCCCTGAATTAATTTATAGAGTGAGATCCAGATGTTCAGAGATAGATCACAAACTATCCACAGTAGTGTATTGAGGTAAATGGCTCTCATTTGTTTTAATAAGAAACAGACTGTAGGGCGCCTGGGTGGCTCAGTCGGTTGAGTGTCAGATTTCGGCTCGGGTCATGATCTCACAGCTCGTGAGTTTGAGCCCCATGTTGGGCTCTGTGCTAACAGCTCAGAGCCTGGAGCCTGCTTTGGATTCTGTGTCTCCGTCTCTCTCTGCCCCTCCCCTGCTTGTGCCCTCTCTGTCTCAATAAATAAAGAAACATTTGAAAACCTAAAAAAAAGGGGTGCCTGGGTGGCTCAGTCGGTTGAATGTCTGACTTCGGCTCAGGTCATGATCTCGTGGTTTACGGGTTCGAGCCCCGCGTCGGGCTCTGTGCTGACAGCTCAGAGCCTGGAGCCTGCTTCAGATTCTGTCTCCCTCTCTCTCCGCCCCTCTCCCCTCACACTCTGTCTCTCTCTCCTTCAAAAATAAATAAACGTCAAAAAAAAAATTTTTTTTTAAATAAAGAATGGTGTTAAAGACCCCTTCTTTGTGCGTGCATCCGTGCCTTCTGGAACATCCCCAACCAGCAGCCTGCCTGTGCTGAGCCCCCTTAGTGCCCACCCAATGCGACGTATCTGTTTGCTCCATTTGCTGTTTGGTAGATTTTTTAACATTCTCTGTTTTGAACGGCTATAAATTCTTGCTTCTACGAAGCCAAATTTTCTTGGCTGTTATGCCAACATTTTTTTGTCCTAGCTCCAACATGAGAAACACAGTAATGTCTTACTTTTTCCTCATCTTAAAGTATGTGAAGACAGCTATCCGACTCCTTCAGTTTTCCCTTCTCACTGGTTTCCTTCAGCCATTCCAGCAAAGATGTAACTTTTGAAGTGCCCTTGGTCTCCTAGGTCCTTCCTTTTACACTGCTTTCACCCTCCGGTGGTCTTTTCAGAATCTGTTTTGCCGACCTCAACAAACTACTCCTGATACAGATTGACCATGACAAAGTGGAGAGCTGAGGTTGCCAGCTTTGCAGTTATTAGCATGAAATAATTTTAAATGTTCATGACGAATGGCTCCAAACCATCAAAATAATGATTCTGGCACCCAACTGTTTGGTAATGACCGACTGGAAAGACTTTCAACTTAGGCTTTATTTTATCTTCCACGACTACACTTCATCCCACACTCCCTCCTAAGTCCTCCCAGTTTGGGGGGGTGGGGGTGGGGAGGCAAAGCTATTGTCAGGCATTATATAAATATATATTGTAAGGCATAATCTTCCATGAATGGGAGGAAGTTCTAGCACCGTTGCCCTTCCCACCACCCCGCACATTTTTGCCGTTGTGTCGAAAAAAACATTACTGTTGCAACCAAAACCAGTTTCTCTTCCACCTCCTCGACCAAGTTCACTTACTACCTCTCTGAATGATAAACAGTATTGTTTTGTGAAATGGCTGCAACTTCGGTCTATTCTACAAGTCCCTTGACTTTTGTTCCTTCTCCTGCAGGAGAATAGCCTTCTCTTTCCTTCACAAAGGAAATATCTTAATATAAATTAAAATAAGAATCCAATGGCTGCCCATTCAGTCTCCACCCTAAACCCAGTATTGCCCCTATTCTGTAAATGTCATTGACAATATGTGATGGAGAAGCAAAACGTCTTTAGTGCCAAGTAATGATGAAATAGAATAGCAAACAGGTATGGTAGCTGCAGACTTCCACTGCGTGGCCCAAACTTTTCTGAATTTAAGCCATGGGTGGTATCTATTTATGAAAAGTTATGTACTCTGTGAGGTGCTCTAAAATCCATTCTTCAGGAGACATAACACTGCCAGGAGACACTAAAAAAGGATTAAAGCTTTGGTGTTGATTGTTTATATGAATGAAAATATCCCCAAACTGGGAAAACTTGGATCTCCAGTAGTGGTCTAGTCATATGCTCTACAAAAATATGGTTACACAAGTCCTGTGCCATCAAGGTTTTCTTTTTTTATTTTTATTTTTTTTTTTAACGTTTATTTATTTTTGAGACAGAGGGAGACAGAGCATGAATGGGGGAGGGTCAGAGAGAGGGAGACACAAAATCTGAAACAGGCTCCAGGCTCTGAGCTGTCAGCACAGAGCCCGACGCGGGGCTCGAACTCATGGACCGCGAGATCATGACCTGAGCAGAAGTTGGCCGCTTAACCGACCGAGCCACCCAGGCGCCCCAAGGTTTTCAAATTCAGTACCCATATTCCTTCTGCTAAAAAATTACTTGAAAAATCCCTTTTCAAAGAAATACTGATTTGAGGAATTCCCTTTGCTGTGACTAAGGCTTTGAAACATTACATTATTGATGATGGTGATTCTCCCAGACTCTGAATAAAATTTGGAAAAAAGTGAGATAAAGACCTAGACTATGTTGGGGTACCTGGCTGGCTCAGTTGGTAGGGCATGTACGTCTTGATCACAACTCTTGATCTCAGGGTCATGAGTTTGAGCTCACATTAAAAAAAGAAAGAAAGAAAACTGTAAAAGACCTAGACTATATCTTTATTCAGAGGTAAATAAGTAGCTTTATAAACGAGAGAAGTAAGAAGACTATAATGCTCTATGGTATTCTATTTTTTCACCACTCTTGGCCAGATTTGGGGATAATAATGGCAGCCCCCAACTCAAACACCTTCAGAAAACAGGCATCTAACAATGTGTGAACTCCATACAGATTCAATATTTTGAAAAATAAGAAGCCCACAAAACAAAACGAGTGTCTGTTTATTTATTTATATTTTTTAAAGGTTTTATTTATTTAAGTGATCTCTGCACTCAACATGGGGCTCCAACTCAGGACCCCGAGATCAAGAGTCGAATGCTCTTCTATTTTTAAATGTTTGTTTATTTTTGAGGGAGATAGAGCGGGCAAGCAGGGGAGGGGCAGAGAGAAAGGGGGACAGAGGGTCCGAAACAGGCTCTGCGCTGACAGTAGAGAGCCCGATGCGGGGCTCAAACCCACGAACCTCAAGGTCATGACCTGAGCCAAAGTCGGACACTCAACCGACTGAGCCACCCAGGTGCCCCAGGAGTCGAATGCCCTTCTCACAGGAGCCAGCCAGTTTCCCGCTCTGGTTAGTCCTGAACTGGTGATAATCCATAGCTACAATTACTGAACACGCTTAATGTGCCAGGTACTGAGCCAAACCACCTTTTCAGGATTTCCTTTTGTGATTATCACAGCAACCCTATGAGTTCGTGCTATTACTATGCCCATTTGTCAAATGAGGAAACTGAGGTTTTGAGGGAATCGCTGATTTGTCTAAGATACCACAGCTAGGAAGAGATGGGACTGGGATCTGACAACAGGCATTCTGATTCCAGAGCCCAGAGACCACTTTATTGCTGGATATTTATTTCTTTATTAACTTCTTTGCGAGAGAGAGAGAGCACAAGAGTAAGCGGGGCCGGGGCAGAGAGAGAGAATCTCAAGCAGGCACTATGCCCCGCGCCCAACGTGGGACTCAGTCCCGTGACTCTGGGATGCTGACCTGGGTCGAAATCAAGAGTCGGATGCTCAACCGACTGAGCCGCCCAGGTGCCCCTATTGCTGGATATTTAAATTATATCTGTGTGTTAATTAGCTGAAAGTCTTGCAAAGAAATTAAGCCTAAAAGTTTCTCCCTGACCCAAGGTTAACCATTCTCTGTTTTCTCCCAGCAGTCCAACAGGGCCATACGGATTGCACATATCTGGATATTAACTTCTGGGTGGAGCATTAAAACACCGGAAACGTAAGTAGGCATTGACTTTTCAAATATGTGCTTCGTCTTCGTCAACTGTCCAAGTGAAGCGTGGGGGTTACACTTCCAGTCAGCCGGCAAGTGCCTTTTATGAAAAGACCCTGATCCCGACAGAACGAAATAGGTATCATTTCATTTCCACTCAATTCACTTGTGGTTTTTTTTCCCCATAAAGGAAGAACTCTCTCCCAACCCCACTGCCTTTAAAAGTGAATAAAACATCTGCATGCCTAAAATTAGTTGGCTCTTCTATCTGAGGTTGACCTTAATGCCAGCTGAATAAAAAAGTTATTGCGAAGGTTAAACGCAGTTTAGCGAGGCTTCCTGAAAGCTTCTATTAATTTCCGAAGTGAACGTCTCTCAAACGATGTCTCCCTCATCTTTATTCTCACTCTCATGCCTAAGGCCCTTCCCTCTTTGTCTTCAATCGTGGCAACATTCTCCCAAACTGCTGCCGGATGATCCTTACAAAAACAAAGCTTTGGCGATGTCACTCCCAGCTACACGCATTTTTATTCGTTCCCAACTGGCGATGGAATGAAATCCAAATACTTAAGCACGACATTCAAAGGCCTTCGTTACCAAAACACTCCCCTTCTTTGAGCCGAACCAAAATACTCCCAGCCTCCTAGTATGCCAAGGACGATCGTTATTTATCTTCGTGTCTGACATTAAGTAGTAGTAAACGACATAGGAACGACAGATAGGCAAGATGCTTCTCTATTAAGGTGTGTGTCATGCCAGGGCTTGGGATGGGAGAAGCTCTGTGGCAATCACTATTCTACCACCTCCCAAACAGCAGGAGCCATCAGTCTCACGCCCAGCCTTTAATTTCCATTTAAACTTCCCTGGCTTCCCTTAAACAATCAACAGGTGCCTTTAAAAAACTTTGCCATACTTCAACATCTTCCAAGCAGAGACTGTTCATCCAAAGGGTAGCAAAATACTCTACTGGTGTCAGACATCTTGGTTATAATCTGGGGTGTGGTATAGAGTTTACATTTGATAGCTAGTGGAAAATACTGAGCAATGCTCCCAAATAACTCCCCCCAGCTCCCCTCCCTCCCCCGCCCACTGACACACACATACACATATGCTTTTCAAAAAAATCTCTCTTCCCTAAGAAGACAGCCCTTGAAAAATAAAGTTTTGCTGGGTCACCGATCTGTGGTTTTCACCAGAGTTTCTCTGTCGTGTCCATTGATCTGTTCCACTCATTTCTGTCATTCATTCAGAAGCAAAATACATGTTCCCTCAAGGTTTTCAAAGGAGACACATTCAGCTCTTCAATTCTTTTTTACCAGGCTTTTAGGGAACCCTCCACGGGCAATCCACATAGACAAAGATCAACAACACCATATCCTTCTCTCTGTTCAAAGGAGTTTAGAGACTAAATTCTCTTAAGATTCTGTTAGGTGTACATTTTTGCAGTGGTCCATAAAAATCCATCTAACTCATCATTGTGGAACTAAATTAAACCCCCTTGCATTCGCCAAATGTTCTGCCAGAAGGAATCCTTGTGTTTTGTCAAGGTAGATACACAAAATGTTTCCCTCTATCGCCAAGCCACAGTTAAAAGTTTAAAAGTTTAAAGCCACATTTAAAAGTTTAATGATACACATTTCTACCAGATGTCCTTCCCCCAAATCATCTGGGTTTTACAGACTATTTATCACCACACTTTTCTGCCAGGATTCTTGCAGTGAAATCTCTTTGTTCAGAAAAGAGTTCAGACTTTACTATCTATTAAATCGGAATTGATCAGAGACCAATTTATTTAATTGAAAATACAGTTCTCTGCTCCAGGACCAGACATTGGCCACTTGAGAATCTGGGTAAATGTAACCCAGGAATGTGACAACTTGGGTCCTCTCAGAATCCGAATCCCTGCGGTAAACATCGCTCTTCATACTGTTTGCAAACCAAACCACAAACCTCAGGGGTAGTCCTCCGACCTTTGCTCCACACCGAGCATTTATCACCCATTTCTAACAGACTTGATGGATCTGCATATACGCACACCCACCGCGTAGCCTGGCACCTAGTTAAGTGGCTACTCAAAAGCTTTTACGGTCACGTATATCTGTTAGTCTTTATCTCAGGCACAGTTATTTATTTGCCTTTCAGCAGCACATATGGTTTAAGACAAATACAGTAGCTATTTCCTCTTTTCAGGCAAGTCTGAACGTCTCATCTTGACATTCTTATTGTGCTGTTCCAAGCATTTCCAAATTGAGAAAGCTATATGAGGTCTCAGTGGAAAGTCACTGCCAGCCAAGACTGTTTGCCTCTGCCTATGTAATAAATGACAGGGTTTCCTTTAAGCCCGGGTTCAAAGACTTAATTCGCTTGCTATTCATCTCCATTTCTGGTTACTGCCCAGCAAGGCTCATTTCTATTGCCCAGATGTTTCTCCACTTTCACCACTGAGTCTGATTGCCAGCCTTCCATCACTTCTCAAAAAACATGTGTGTTATGTGTGTGTGTGTGCATGTGTACGTGTGTACCCACATGATTAGATTGAGGGCACATCTTTTCATGCTTTCTTTTTGTCTCTCTTTTTGCTCTTTGTTTTTTAAAAAAACATTTTTTTTAAACATTTATTTATTGTTGAGAGACAGAGAGAGACGGAGCACGAGAAGGGGTGGGGCAGAGAGATAGGGGGACACAGAATCCGAAGCAGGTTCCAGGCTCTGAGCTGTCAGCACAGAGCCCCACGTGGGGCTCAAACTCATAAACCGCGAGATCACGACCCCAGCCGAAGTCAGATGCTTGACCGACTGAGCCACCCAGGTGCCCCGAGATTGCAGGTGTAATTTTGAGATTGCATTATCCATACTTTATTTGTACTCTGTCTTGTATGTGTACAGTTTTATTTTGCAATCATTTTATTTCTTTCTAGATACAGGGCACAGTGTTAAGCAAAGATTACAAATTCAAGTGCTGACAGTATTCTTGAAAGTATCATAAATGAGTGATTTGGAAATGGTGGTGACTATGGCAAATCAGAAAGTACATTTCTCATCTAAAGAGGAATGGAGGGGCGCCTGGGTGGCTCAGTCAGTTAAGCGTCCGACATCGGCTCAGGTCCTGATCTCGCGGTTTGTGAGTTCGATACCCGCGGTGGGCTCTGTGCTGACAGCTCAGAGCCTCGAGCCTGCTTCGGATTCTGTGTCTCCCTCTCTCTCTGCCCCTCCCCTGCTCACGGTCTGTCTCTCTCTGTTTCTCAATAATAAATAAATGTTAAAAAAATTCTTTTAAGAGGAATGGAAATGCTGCTTTGGGTAAGAGAGACTCCCCCCTTACAAAGGCAGCTTCTTCCTCTTTCTGCTGTCCCTAAGGGAAGATTCCCCGCTTTCTCTCTGCCAGTACGTTTCCAGGAGCCATGACCATTGCTAAGAGTAGCTCCTTCCGGGGCGCCTGGGTGGCGCAGTCGGTTAAGCGTCCGACTTCAGCCAGGTCACGATCTCGCGGTCCGTGAGTTCGAGCCCCGCGTCAGGCTCTGGGCTGATGGCTCAGAGCGGGGAGCCTGTTTCCGATTCTGTGTCTCCCTCTCTCTCTGCCCCTCCCCCGTTCATGCTCTGTCTCTCTCTGTCCCAAAATAAATAAACGTTGGAAAAAAAAAAAAAGAGTAGCTCCTTCCTTGAGCGTTTCTTACAGCCTCCCTTCACGGGAGGTGGGCACTGCTAGGTCTCCAGCCCAGTGCTTCAAGGCAAGGTCTAGAGGAGCTAAGTTAGTTAGGATACAGGCCCCGCTGCTTTACCAGGAGCCCAAAACAATAGCGGGGCAAATATTTTCTCACTTAGTCACGTAGAGAAAGGAAGTCCGAAGAGGTAGGGCCTCTCTGCTCCTTGAGGTCATCTGACGGCCCAAGCTTCTTCTAGCTTATGAAAAAAACATGTTTCCCTTATCCACGTGGTACGAGATAGCTCCTCATTGGATCCATGTCCCAGCCAAGGAGAAGAGGGAACAAAGGGTGGTAGAGGGCCTTAGACTCTGGGATAGAGGGCCCCTTAAAAGCTGGGGGTCCTTTTTTGTTTGTTTGTTTTTCAACATTTATTTATTTTTGGGACAGAGAGAGACAGAGCATGAACGGGGGAGGGGCAGAGAGAGAGGGGGACACAGAATCGGAAACAGGCTCCAGGCTCTGAGCCATCAGCTCAGAGCCTGACGCGGGGCTCGAACTCACGGACCGCGAGATCGTGACCTGGCTGAAGTTGGCGGCTTAACCGACTGCGCCACCCAGGCGCCCAAAGCTGGGGGTCCTTTTTGACACTCCTCTTTCACACCTGATTCACCAAGGAACCTATGGATTCTGGCTTCCAAACAGAGATAGAATTCAGCCCCGGGACACCCGGGTGGCTCAGCCGGTTAAGATTCCGACTCTTGGCTTTGGCTCAGGTCATGATCTCGTGGTCGTGAGTTTCAGTCCTGCCGTGGGCTCTGCGCTGACAGTGTGGAGACTGGGATTCTGTCTCTCCTTCTCTCTCTGCCCCTCCCCCACCCCTCTCTTTCGATCTCAAAATAAATAAACTTAAAAAAAAAAAAAAAAAGGAATCCAGTCCTTTCTCATCACTTCTGCTACCACCCTCATCCAAGCCACTCTCATCTCTGACCAGGCGTCTCGCAATAATCTTCTAACTGGTCTTGCTACTTCTATATTCGCTTGGCCGCGCTGCCACCACCACAGGCAAGAGTCTATTCCCAGCAGAGCAGAAGGAGCGATTGTTTGATAATAGAAACAGATTACATTTCACCTCTGCTCAAAATCCTTCAATGGCGTCCCATTTCCCTTAGAGTGTAAGCCAGAGTCCCTCAGCGGCCTTCAACCGTCTACACAATCTGACCTCCCACGCATCCTTCTTGCTTCCTTTCTTCTACTCTTCCCCTTGCTCACATCGCTCACCCGATTCTAGCTCTACTGGCATCTTTACTGTTTCTGGAATATGTCAGAGGCGCTTCTGCCGTAGGCTTTTGCACTGGCTGTTCCC